CTTTTTTTGCTCTGACATCTCTGTTTTCAATTTGACGTTAACAGCTGCTGAGAAGAAAGCTTTGCTTTTGCATGATAATCTTGAAAGTGTATTTTTTAAAGTCGAACCAGGCAGTGCTGGCTGAAAGGGTCCGCCCTAGGCTCTTGAAACGTTTGAGGTTTTCCTACAACGTTGGGGCAAAGCTAGTTGAGCAGTGCCACGCGGCAGCAATATGCCAGGCATGACACAGCATTCGTTGTGTAAACACAACAGTAGGGTCGTATATGGCCGCTGCGGAGTGTGTGGGGGGGGGGACGGTCGCAGCGCATTACGAAGAAAGTTAGACCATTCAACCACCTCGGTGTGGGAGTAGAACGCATGGCGCGATGCAAAGGTGAAATCAGTCAAACGTGTTCGAGTAACATACTCAGGCCTTCAAGAGGATCGGAAATCCTATGATGCTGGAAGAATAGAGATTGTTGAGTGGCAGGAAATTTACGCCAGTTCACTGCTTGTCTGGGAGCGTAAAAGCGCTGACTAGTATACCAGCATCGTTGGGAGAATTGCATAAGGTGAAACGTATTCAGCTTGAAAAGAAAGGAATTTCCAAAGTAGAGAAATTTTCACAGGATTTTCACTTCTCACGCGCGCAATACACCCTCTAATATCTCAATGCTAGTTTTGAGGGATTCGAGGGAACATCAGTGAAATTGATAGGCAGAAAATGTGGTCAGTTGGTGTGTAGGCTGTCAGTGGAAGAAGAAAAGTTTGTATGGGGGTCGTACAGTACCATGACCTACTAAGCTGGTATCCGGAGTAGTGAGTCCTTTGTGACGAGTAAATGGACTTAGTGTTGGCGGCCACTGCCCTTCTGCCCTGATTACCCTCTCCTCACCGCAGCTCCGTCCTGTCTTCCCACTGAGTTCTATGTTGATTATCGGAGATTTTTTTCTTCTGTTTCCCTTTTTTTGATGTTCGTTGCTGTCAATAGAATGCCGATAATAAATCATTAAATCATGAACCATTTCTTCCATCCCCATACCAAAACCTGCTTGTATATCTTCTGTCATCCAGCATCACTGTATAGAATGCCACTTTGATACTAGGACAGAAACAAATGTATGGCGCATCCAGAGTGTTCAGAATGTTTTCTCCTTTTTCTTTATAAGTGAGGGACGTTCTAATGGCACTACTTACCTTTTCTCCTCCCCCCCGCCGAAATTCTCGCCCGATTGTGATCGAAATGTTTCCTTGGGGTGCATTTTGCTAAAATTTAGCTCTCGGGGTAGTTTGGCGCCGGATAGCTACGTGGCCTGTTGAACAGCAGTATCAAGTCCTTTTGTTGCAAGTGAATGTAGCATTCGTGTACGAGGCAACACTATCCCGGAGACAGAGTGAATTCTAACAACTCCCAAAGAAAAATTCGACCAAAATCTTTCTAAACTGCGAACAGTGCGGGGCAGTAGGATAGGATAAACTGCGCCTTTATATTCCATGACACTGCTAATAATGGCTACATGTGTTAGTTACTCGCTGCATTTGGTGACAGATTTCGCTTCAATGTCTTGGGTAATCATCATAACGTTCATCTGGTTTTTTGTGGGTTCCTAAAACGGTGGAAAACACTCGTCGTGAAGAAAATGATGGCATCATCGTGTTCATTACTTATTTGGAGCTGCAAAATTGGTCTAATGTCGGCCAGGCTAAAATTTCAGGGCAGAGCCCTCGATAAGGTATAAGTTCGAGAACATGAGGCGTCGGGAGGGTAGCTTGGTCCGCTACGAACAACCTGAACAGCCCTGTACCGGTTTTGCGGTAAAAAATTGTAAGGGAGTGGCGTTATGGCGCAATTTAGGTTCAGTGACGCCTCCTTTTTCAGTGACTCCGCCTTCAAGGCTCGCCCTCAGTGAAAAACGGAGCTGCAGGACAAAAAAGCATAGAAAATCGTCACTTGTACGGTCGTAGGGCTCCTATCAGGAAATCAGCTGTGAGGATGGCGACGTAGTGTTGGAGATGAAGTCAATTGGGGACGTACAAATTGGGATCAAAATGGGGTTCTATCTAGGGCAGTTGGCATGTTTTTCCTGCTTTTTTCCTTCACTATCGAATTACTCAGCACCCTTGTCGTCTACATGCAAACCCCTAATCCACTACCTGTGATGGCGAATGTCGCGGACTTCGCCTTCGATCGGATTTACGAATATTGTAACCGTGAACACTGTGTCCTTACTTTTATAACCACCTAGTCAAGAACCCGGAAGTTGGTGATTGGACAGCAGGCAAATGGTGGATCCGGTGAAACCGGTGGATCCGGTGAAACCAAAGTCGATGAAACCGTATCGAATGAGAACGCATTCGAACACCCTGTCGATTTCGTAAAAAATGTCTAACGCATGGCGTATCTTGATAACCATTTGCTCCATATTCACTTTTATCCAGATACGTTTCCCTAAAGTTGCTAAATTGCCTATTTAAACCCGAATTCTCGGAGTAATTGGAATGCCACTTGATTGTCGGTGAACCCTGATACACTACTGGTGAACCCTGGCGCTGCACTTTCTGGGTCACTGCGTCCGATGCAAAGTAAACTATCCAAGAGTCGATATCATCACATCACGTTGTTGCTTCATTCGCCGCTGTTTTTCTCCTCCACTATCACCATTTTCACTTTGACCGCTGACTGTTGGAATTTTCTTGAGATGTATGACATTTCCTATGCTGGAAAAAAATCATGGGGCGTTTGAAATGTCCTATCAAAACGAGCCCGATCCCTTCTGAACGGCGATTTCGACGTCACCCAACACCCGTACTGAAAGGGAGAAGGGAGATGAAAAAGTGAGGAGATGGAAAGAAGCCATCCGGTCAACTAGCAGAACTTTCAAAAGGGTGTCACTAGCGCCCTTGAAACGGGAAAAGTCAACAATGGAAAAAATTCAGCAAATACGTTTCTCCATCGTAGCAATTTTAGACCGCTCGATGTCTTCCTCCCTCGGTCTTTATTTCATCAACCCTACTTCACTTATGAGAGTTGGGGTAGTCGTAAGAGTTTATCTGCGGCGGGGTAAAACTAAGTGTGAAACGAACGAACAAATGCCCGAAAGTTTAAAGTGTCTCCCAGAATTTTTTTTCAGATTTACTTTTTCATGAATTCTACCATCCTATTCTTTTTTTCGGACACGCATAAAATAATAAATTGCACACTCCGTCTAGCCGGTCCTATCGCTTTCAGTAACGCTTCGTACAATGAGTGATTGTAATCATTTAATTTTTTTTTAATTTGAATGACAGTGCCCTATTTCCTTATTTCTATTCCGCTACATCTTCAGTTTTTCTGAGTTTTTTCTGGAGTGCCCTTGTTTCGGTTTTGTGAAAAGCCGTCCACTAAACGATCGTAACATACCTGGTATTTTCCGGAAGTCCTTCAACAAGAGTTTGTGTGACGCCAGGGTGTAATTCAATGTGAAATCGAATAATAAACTAAATAAATATCATTGAAATTTCACCAAATGTAGTTTTGGCCGACGCGAGAGTTGAAAATATTTTTTTTTTTTTTTTTTGTTAAAGAATTTTTTTTTTATTTTTTTTTTTTTTATTTATTTTTTTTTTTTTTTGTTAGCTAGATTTAGAAAGATTTTTTTAAGCGGTTTCCCTTAACCGACTTGGCCCTTCTTCTATTGCAAGAACCCTATCATTTCTCAGGACGTTTTCCTAATCGGCAGTTTCATCTATAATTTCTGTCACGGAATGCCTAGGTACTGTCGCACCGCCGACTCGCTTCTAGAAAAATTGCCTTATAGATTGATCCATGTAACCTGCTCCACAGTGACTTTTCTGAAGATTCTTCTTTGCATCTACAAGTGTTTCATTTTGTTAGGAACGATGCTCATATTCGTCATAATTGTATTATTTGCCGATGCGTTCGCCCAGCCGTATCACATGACCTGCTATTACAAGTGAGTATCAGAGATCGATTCATCAACACTTTATCGAAATAGATGATTTGATACAAAGTTTGAAAATAACATAACTAGAAATGAAAATAATCCCATATAAAGTTCAGCCGTACCGTAATGAAAATTTAATTAAGCTGGAATCAGCCACCGCTCGACGACGTTGATCTTTCCCTTTGTTCTCATATTATACTGATCGGTCAAGTCCATGTTGACAACGTTGGCCACCTCCAATTACCACCATCTGCGATTTCAAAGGTACGTATCGTGACAGGAGTAGTGCTGACTAGCCAGGGTTTCACGTGAGACTGAACACTGGCTGTTTGAGGAGGACCCATTAGCTCTTTCCCTTCAAAGCTACCTCTGCTGTGCTAGTCGTAGCGGATCTAATGGATCTGGTAAGGTAGGTACTTCCCTCTCTCTACTTGTTTGCGTGATGATTAGGGTGGGGTCAAGGGTCTCTGTGAGGTGATGTGACATTTGGTTGGATAGTTCACCAATCGATTTCCATCCTTTCAAGCTCCGAAGCAGGTGAAATCACTGAAACGTTAGCCGCCTAACAAAGGTCATTTCCGACCTCGAGAGCAGGTCAAGAAGAAACAGCCGTAGGCAGTACACTGTCGCTGACCCTAAGGGCATCGCTACAGCATCGCTGTGCGAAATCCATCGCGGGGATGTACTTGATTGCTGGGGAGGGGAGGAGTCGTAAGCTCAAACGTCACTGAGCACCGGACAACGCAAAAGTGTCATCCCTAGGTGTTGAAGAGCGGAACCAGCGCTGAGAGAACCCGGATGTGGGAAGAGGATAAAAAATATTGAATTAACCAACTAACAATATTGATAGCTCGCGGTGGGCTATCAACTTTCCAAATCCTGTGTAAAGATCCGTTCGCATATAAAAATTATTACCATTGGGAGATATGCACACCTTTACACCACCATTGCATATGGCGTTATGCATGGCGCACACTCAGACGAAACCGATCAATGGTGTCCATACCACAGTCATAGTGAGGTCTCCGAAAGGGTATTCTCTGAATGGCACAGAAGGAGTCGAGCTTTTGAAAGGCTTAGAATTTCGCCCATCAGAAACCCTTCTAAAATATCTTCTGAACTAGCGGGACTTCACAGAAACTGCAATGCTTCGAAAGGGGAAATATTGCACTTTTTGATCCCGTTTTCAGTTTTGCAAAAGATTGCGAATGAAAGAAGTTATTTTCGTCTGAAGCATAAAAACTCGATCGCGATTTGCCACTAACCCATTTAGAATGAACCCAAAATATTTCACAAGGGGAAGATTCAGACTGCGTGTAAGGTAAACGCACAACAATGACATAGCTCTAAGGTGTTGTCTCCCGTTTTG